ATTGTGTTAAAATCGTATAAACTTTAAGTGAGCATGCAATAGTTGGATGAAAGTGCAGTTCTGTGCATAGAAACTTCAGTTTACATACAAAAGTCAAGCATTTCCACGATGACAAAGATAAACAACACATTAATTGGGATGGCTTTGTAGATTATGACATCCAACATTACAATACAGAAAGATGAGAATTTGCATGGGTTGGTGCACTCGCACAAGGAAACCATAGATGGTTATATATTGTACTAGCTGTATAAGGTTGGTAGCTTTATCATTGCACACAAACAGAAACTCCTTCAAGGCACTTGTTTAGAAACTCCTTCAAGGCACTTGTTTTGAATGCGGGCACATTTGAAGCAAGAGTGAAAGGCACATGCCAAGTTATACAGAGTGCAAGTTTATACTGCCATTAAAAAAATGGCTCCAGGACTCTTGACAACACCATGCTAGTTCTCTTGAAGTGCATTCACAATTCCGCTGGATGGCTTTGTTGCTCTCCTGTCACTTTCCAAGAAGGGCACAGGGCCAGATAATTGTAGCATTCACTAATACACAACATGCCTAAGCACACTGCAATTATGGCATATAAGCAATGTATGGCAGGCAGTCTGTTTACCAACACATCACCATCACTGGGATTGGTCATACAGTTCCACAGAATGGCAAATGCCAGTAATGGCAGTGTGCTAGACAACATGCTTGGTGGCACTGTGCCAGGAGGATGCTGTCAACTGGAAACAGACATTTCCGTTGCAATCAGGCAACATATACAGAAGCTGAATTAATCTCAGACAGTGAGTGCCAGAGGATACTGTCTTTGACGGATTGTTTACAAGACTGCCACATGGCACGACAATTGCAAGCACCGCCTCGTATGCACGAACAGGGTTACAGGAAAGGTCAACACGAATGCAACTTGATTCCCATTTTTGCCACCAGTAAGACGTAATATAGATTTAGGGAATTGGCATTTCATTTCGGATTATATGGAGACATCACATGCTGCATTTATATATTAAAGGTATATGAGCAACATAAGAATCATGAGGCAGCTGCGTTAAACAGGGTTAATGCTCGTTTACGTGACAAAAATTCAAGGGTTTTGAAGTACTTTCAAGGCAAATTCTGAAGGACCACATTGTATTTTAAATCAAATTAACATATGCTCAGGAAAGGACAAGGGCTTGAAATAACTAAATTCATAGAAAAAGGGGAACATCACTGGAGCAGACGTGAAAAACGTGGATCCAGTGACATTTTATTTGCACGCAACTTTCAATCATAGTTTCTTAAAGTTGCATAAGTAATCACTTTCAGTATTACACAAGTTGCATACTTTCATTCAGATAAGAACAACTAAGGAACACTTACTACGCAACACCTTGTTGCTTTTTCTAAATTTTTGCATTAATATCAACTATCTCCTGCTGCTTGGTCTCGGAGTCTTCTTAAGGCTGTTTGACTTGATGGACATTAAGTCGCTGATTGCCTCTGCGATTTCTCCATACGAGTCTGCTATAGCTGTTAATTCCTTAACAGCGGCTTCTAGTTTCTTTTCCTTTTTTTGTAAGCATTTCGACCGCCTTCTCAATGCAACATATTTTTCTATTTATCCTCCTGCCTTTTCAGAGTTTCCAGATAAACACGGTGTTGTTTTCGTGGAGAACCTACTGTGGCCCACCAAACTTTCTGTCTCCCCTTCATATGCTTGCCTTCTCTGGGAATCCAGTCAGTTACCCTTAAAGACTAGCTGTTATCCTGCCTACATGATAAGTGCCCAGCCCATGTCCATTTCTTCTTCATTTCAACAGTGATGCCCCGCCGCGGTGGTCTAGTGGCTAAGGTACTCGGCTGTTGACCCGCAGGGCGCGGGATCGAATCCTGGCGGCGGCGGCTGCATTTCCGATGGAGGCGGAAATGCTGTAGGCTCCTGTGCTCAGATTTGGGTGCACATTTAAGAACCCCAGGTGGTCGACATTTCCGAAGCCCTCCACTACGGCGTCTATCATAATCATATGGTGGTTTTGGGACGTTAAGCGCCACATATCAATCAAATTCAGCAATGATATCCTTAAACCCGGTTTGTTCCCTGATCTACTCTGCTTTCTTCTTGCCTATTCAGATTGGACCTATCATCCTCCTTTCCATCCCTCGCTGTGTCATCCTCCATTCAAGCAGAATCCTCTTTGTAAGCCTTCAGGTTTCTGCTCCGTAGGCAAGTACCGGCAAGATGCAGCTGTTCTATACCTCCCTACTGAGAGCTAGTGGCCCATTACCATTCATGATTTGAGAATACTTGCCAAATGTGATCAACCCTATCCTTAGTCTTCTAGTTATTTGAATTTCGTGGTTCGGCTCCACGGCTACTACCTGTCCTAGGTAGACGTATTCTTTTACAACTTCCAGCATCCCTCCACCTATCCCAAAGTACTCTTTTCTGTCGAGACAGTAGCACATTAGTTTTGTGCATATTAATTTGTAGACTTACTTTCTACTTTTCGTGTCCAGTTCAGTAATCATGAGCTGTAATTCATCTCCAGAGTTTCTCATCAAGCCAATCTCTTCAGCAAATCGCAGGTTACTAAGCTAATCTCCATTAACTCTTATCCCCAACTTTTCCCAATCTAAGGCCTTGTAAACACGCGATGAACAGCATTATAGAATGGAATCGAAAGTTGGGCTAGTTGGATATGCATGGTATAACTGTAGTTTAAGCGCACAGTTGTCACAATTGTACTTTTTGCCTTCACACGCATGCGTTGTTATTGACTGCCTGCTTATACTATATTCTTCTCTTTCCAATAAATCTTTTAGTTGTGAGAAAGCGCTTGTCCTGTGTTCCTTTGTGCGCTTAAACTACAGTTATACCAAGCATTGGAGAAATCATGTCTCCCTGCCTTACACATTTCCTTATTGGGATTCTGTCGCTTTCTTTATAAGAAACTATGTGGCTGTTGATCCACTGTAGATTTCTTCCAGTATGTTTATGTAGGGTTCGTCAATGCCCTGATTCTATAGTGCATGCATTACTGCTGATGTCTCGACTGAGTCAAAGGCCTTCTCGTAATCTATGAAAGCTATGTATCAGGGTAGGTTGTATCCTGTGCATTTCTCTATAACCCGATTGATAGTATGCATATGGCCTATTGCCGAGTAGTCTGTATGAAATCCTGCTTGGTCCTTTGGTTGATTGAACGGTGATGTTGCCTTAGTTTTATTAGCTATTATTTATGTAAATAGTTTGTAGAATACGAACAGTAAGCTGATCAGCCTGTAATTTTTCAAGCCCTTGACGTCTCCTTTCTTATAGATTAAAATGATGTTGGCTTGATTGATTGATATGTGGGGTTCAATGTGTCAAAACCACTATATGATTACGAGAGACGCCGCAGTGAAGGGCTCTGGAAATATAGACCACCTGGGCTTCTTTAACAGCACCCAAATCTGACCACACTGGCCTACAGAATTTTTGCCTCCATCGAAAATGCAGCTGCCGCAGCTCGGATTGGATCTCACGACCTGCGGGTCAGCAGCCGAGTACCTTAGCCACTAGACCACCACGGTGGGTTAAAATTGAGTTGGCATTCTTCCGAGATTCTGGTACCCTCCCAGTCAAGTGACACTTCGTATATAAGGTGGACAGTTTTTTTAACACAATTTCTCTAGCATCTTTCAGCAGTTTCGTTGTTGCCTTATCCTCACCAGCGGCTTTACTTCCTTGCATTCCTTCTAGGGCTTTCGTTACTTCCCTTGTCGTTACTGGCAGAATGTCGAATTCCTCTGAGCTGTTATTGCTTCTTACGATATCATCCTGGTTGTTACAGCTTCTATACAGCTCTCTGTCATAGCCATATTGGCTATGACATTGCCTTCCTTGTCCTTTAATGCATAGATCCGATTTTTGCCTATGCACAAGTTTGCCTTCGCAGACTTGCTGCATTTACCCCATCACAACTAATGCACTGTGAAATGCACCATAATGTTAATTTAAAAAAGAAAATTCAAAGATTTTCAAGGACTTGCAAAAATTAAGGCACTTTCAAGGCCTTGAAGACAAACTTTTCGAATTGAAGGGTTTTCAAGAATTTCAAGCACCCGCACGAACCCTGGTTAAAATTCTATAATGCATACATTGAAATTCGTAGGACTCGTGGGTCTATCGCTACCGCACCCTGAATAATTTCTATTTGTGCCCGAGAAAGCAATTTATAACAAACATGTGAAAAACACTTTAATTTTGGCTCGTATAATAGATAGGTGTTCACAAGGCACACAGTTTCTGCACATGCTGGTTTGCCACTGTACTAATCATTTCTAAAATCTAGATGTGTGTTGAACGCATTGATGTGCACGAGAGGTATCGCTCTATGCCAGTTGTCCATGGCATGAAAACTTGGAATTACCCTTGAGACCTGTTCTGCAGCGCACTTGGATTGTAACTTTTCATTTTCATTTTTTTAAACAGAAATAAAACAAACTTTAGTGCACCTCACACTATGTTTGCATAGAGGCACTGTATGCCCATGCACTCAATGGTATACAACATGTCCAGCCGAAGAAAAAAAAAACCCTTCTAATGCATCATCGCAAGGTCCCTGTCCCAACTGATGTCCTTTGCAATTAAAAATCACATAACGATGATACTTAGTTGGACGGACTTAGAAGTGACTGTGCGTCTCAGAATAAAACTGATGCATAATGCTTTCAAGTCCCCAAACCAATTATCACCAAGTATTCATACACAGAATATTATTGTTACAACAAGAACAGATTTTTACACTGTTATAATGAAACTAGATCCTCTTTGGTATCACATTCCCAAGAAAAAAAATGTGGATACCAAATGCATATCACTCTTGTTACTAACACATAATATGAAGGCACTGGCTCTTGTGACGAAACAACGCAAGAAAATGGCACAGAATGCATGCACCAGACGATTTGAAGAGCAACATTGGTATAAGAAAACCATGTGTGCGATCGAAGCCTAATGGCTGCTTTGCTGGAAAACAAAGATATTATGATAGACCAGACATACCTCAAACATGAACTGCAACCATTTTTGAGGTGTCTAGCGGTAAGCACAAGAAAATGCACCAGGGCGGCCAGAAAATGTCAAGTCAGTAGTAAGAAGTATGATCATTTTAATAAGGAGCATGCAAAAGCTTGTCTATGACGCACACTCATGCAGCTATTGAGGCATCATGACATCCCCTACATGCTATCACTTGGGAATTCAATGATCTTATGTTCCTGCCAAACTCTTTTTTTCCTAATATGTTACCGGAACATTTTTCCTCCACATAAAAACAGACTGCCTGTGGCTGCTAACCAGTGTACGACACATAAAAAAAAAAACCCACTAAACTAAACAAGCATTTAAGAAGCCTCAACTTAGGCTCTGCATTCTTAATAAAACGACATTACGTTATCATGATATCAGTCACATGATTTTTCTTGAGGTTTCACAGATAGACCTTTATAGTTCCAATGTTGAACTAAGCAAACAGCAACAGAATTTATGTTATAGTAATATTAATTATTACAATACACAGAACGTACCACACATACATGCAAGGAAAAAAAAGACATGAGCCTACAAGGCTTTGGGAACATTCAATTGAGATCAAGTGGCCTGTGAACAGTAAGTGTACAAATATGATGCTCCTTGTACACTTTATGCTTTACAACTTAATGCAATCGGTAACTCGCAAACCTGTACATGAAATACTGACACACCCGAAGGCACGAGGGCGGGTGCCTTGCTTGGCTACGTCGAAACTCTGGCCCGGCCAACTTCATATAGCAAAGTACACATCATTTCCAATGGGTGTAAAAGAGCCTGAAAGAAACTACTGTCGTAAAATGAACTACAAATTCACTTGACATTGCAAAACCCAATTGCAACAAAGTCATAAATGCAGAATCAAAGGCTGCTTGGAGCAAGTGCTCGTGAGGAAGACCATTGTTACTTGCGGGATGCGAGACTGAGTGCCCCTTATACAAAAGACTGCCTGAAAATGCACTGACAACTTGATGAGTTAATTCTGGTAATGGGTACAGTACAGTGACACAATACCCGACAATGTGGCACAAATATACTTTGAGGTGGCCAAAGTCTGTCAGATATTCTGCAGGAAGTGTTCAGCTCGAAATACGCACGATCAACATGTTTAGTACAATTACTCTGATCTAGGGCCCATAGGCGTGCGCAGAGTTCTTCATTGGGGGTGGAGAAGCATCACCACCGCTCCCCTCCCGCTTCAAATGGTCGAGACAGAAGGACACAAGCTTCATGATGAACGCAAAATCGAAGATAAGATAAAGCAACGACGTGCTGTTTATAACAGCTTGCCTTTACTTCTCGGCTTTCCATGGGTAACAGTGGGAAGTAAAATGGTTCTTGGAATGCAACATCAGGGGTCCCCAGCCGCTGCTACTATCAAAAGCTTGCATGGTCACAACCCTGCACACTTTAAACAGTGACGGGAAAGGTCTGACCGAGCGAAGGTGTGGGGCAGACTTGGCACACCCCTTAGATGACTGGGGGCGGGGGGCGGGTGCAAGGGCAATTACTTTTTCTCACTAACTAATCCCCCTGATCACACGCTACTGCAACTCACATGTGTTACCAATTATCCACTTTCACATTCTAAGTCTTCACATTCTCGAGCACCATCTTTTGCTCTTTACGAGTAGCTTCCGGGCAAATGACAGCTAAACTAAGTAAATGAGCCTAAAGGTTATGAAAGATTATAAAAAAAAAAAAAAAATCCACTTCACTAGCAAGCCCCTGAGGCATACATGTATATTTTCCACCTAATGTGCATTAGAAACAACGAGTAGTAATTAAAGTAAGTCATTAAGGTTCAATGTATAGAAGGAATAACAAAAGCTGCGCAATAAGAAAAATAATTCGTGTCGACCACAAAATGAGAATTCCGGCGACAGTGAAACTTATCTCTCTGCTGTGCCGCAGTAGAGTCATAGTGCCTTGCCAAAACTGTGCTTGTAACTTTGCAAGGGCAGCAGACTTACATGCCCCTCACAGTTGAGGGTGCCTCATAGAGCGAAATGATAGCTTTACATGATACACATTTTTTTTTTTGGACAACAGACCCAAACAAAAAGTGTTAGGCTGGATTTTGGGGAATACAGTACAAATTTCACTTATAATATAGCAGCCTATTAAAATTATTACCTTGCAGCTGGCAAACACAAGAGCAAAAAACACGTGAAAAGCAATGAAAAGCCCATTTTGATAACCAAGTGCAATAGTGTACCGCAGGAAAGCCAGCCCGACTCCTTTTTGATTAGAACTGCATGGTGAATGAAATGTAGGCTTCAGGTGGTTTCCTTTCATGCAAGTAAGAAAACAGGAAAAGAAGAAGAAAAATGGACAATCTTTACACACTCTAGACATCTCTTTGGCGCTGTTTTCCACCCAATGTGAAATGAACACATGAGCCAAAAAGTCAAGAAAAAGAATGAATGACAAGACAATATGTGAAAGAAGGCTTATGAACAGCAGTTCAAATGAGTGGCTTTGCACGAAATGCACTCACTTAGTACACTTTTCAGATAATGCTGTCTGAAAGACAACCCCAATGTAATTTCACTTTGCCTTAAAGGGACACTAAAGACAACTACTGAGTCAACGTTGATTGCTGAAATAGCGGTCCAGAAACCTCGTAGTGTTACTTTTTTGCCAAGGAAGGGCTTATTCTGAAATAAAATTTCATTTTAGTGGTTTGCGTCGAGTTAGTGCACTTAAAATTACCCGCTTAAAGGAGTGGGACGTCTCACATCACTGTTGCCATGCACAACGTTGTCCGGCTTTAGTGCGCGGCCACCAACACTAATAGCACCAGAACGAAATCAGCAGGCCACTACGGCAAGAACTGCCACTGAAGAATTTCCTGCCATTAGCCCCGAGATTGCAGATAAGCTTGCTTCAACTGGGCCCCGCCAGATGGCACAACCTGTCCAGTTTAACCACGCAAATATTGAACTATTGAACCACTCGTGCCATTCCTCATAGTAACGTCCGGCAGTCTTTTTCCATGAACCAAACAGAAATGAACAAGCAGCACTTTATTACGTCTCTTGATGCATGGAAGGTTTTTTATTTAGTAAACCTCATTCGATTACTAGTGGTCTGTTGCTAACTGTAACTCTGACGTCACCGGGATCATTTTGTAAATGTTCTACTGCGGCGCACGTATTCTTGTGCATTTACCTCTATTTCTCGGTAAGGAGGGCACTGCTGTTGATGATAGTGTCGTTTTAGATGTTGTCATACATTGAGTTTTCACCCTGATGTAAATTGTTATTTGACTTTAGTGCCCCTTCAATTTAAAAAATGTGAGGAATATACATACCCTAACAAAGGAGTGTTGGCAAGGCGTCAGAACCAGTAATGGTATGATTCTGTTGTCAGTCGCTTTCAAACAGCACCTCAGCAGACCATGCCTGTTATCGCTAGGTGCAGGCATACTGCTTTTAAGGTGTTTCAGTGCCTTTTTATTGCAAAGTCATGCTAAGGAATTGCACTTTGTAGGTCATGCCTTTGTCATGTGAAACTTTTGGCAAGTTGAAGTGGCAGTGTTCTTTTGTTTTGTTTTCCCTCAGTTCAGGTAATGAAAACAGAAAACCTTTGCAAGCCTTCATGACATTTCCACATGCATTTCAGACAAGTTTTCCAAGGAGGCTCCAATATACGAAGCTGGGCTTTTTGTGCTACCACCAGACTTACGTTCATTTTTGAAGCTACCATCAAAAATGCAAAGTACAAATGTCCATATAGAAGAGTGGTAGCTTGGGCTAGTCGGTATGGCATGACGATAGTTATAGCGCGAGAACTAAACGCCGACACAGAGACAAGAAGGACACGAAAGACACGAGAGCATGCGACTGGACAAATGTCCAGTTGCATGAAGCATGTTTAAATTGGCAAAAGTTTAGCACATTGCTCAACAGAAACCCTACATTATCTGTTCGCCTGATGAGCCATGACTGGGCTGCTTACATCCACTGGTACAAATAGACAGACATCACTCCTCAAATGTTTCGGACCTTGTGGTGCAATAGAACACTTGCTCGAAGAAGACTTGTAGTAGTGGACCCTTCATCCACACCACCGATTTCCGATTTGAAGCAAAACCACATGGCGGTTCATAACCATAAACTTCCCTTCACGTCAGTGCTTCCACAAATTCCCACAGACGTCAATCATCTCACGTCGAAGTGCAGTGCTGTAGTCCCCCCAAGGTGACGAGACCGGCAGCAGAAGAGTTCACAGGTTGTCGTTTGCAATAGATTTCAGCTCGACAGGGTGCTCCACTGACTCCTGAAGCTCAAGCAGATGAAGCAGATGTTTCTCCATGATGGGCTGATCTTTGTTGATCACCGTCTGGATTATCTGCTCTGTGTCCAGGTCAAGTTGAAGCTTTTCTCCAGCAAGAATCTACGTAGAAAACACCAAAGGTAAGTGCCTGCTGCAGCTAAAACTGGCACGGTGTGTTCTTGGTTGAAAACTTCTTATGAAAAAAACATTAAAAAAAACTAAAGTAACATTCAGAATTTAGCTTTCACCTGAAAAGTGGCCTGTGTCATTGGAGTCAAAAACTGTGCAAGCAACTGCGCTCAATAAATTTTAAACCTTGACATTTCATCATATTGCGATAGCACAGGTTTACATAACACACAGAAAGCATAATTTTATAAGGAAGACAAAAAGATGCACTTTTATTTCCAGCCTTGTAAGCATTTCAGAGACAATAAATAGAAAAATTGTTTTATACTGTATCACCGATTGGCCCTTTCACATTACTAAATAAAGTAACAAAATTTGAAAAAAAAAAAGAGGGTGGGCTCATAATCCCCAATCTTGCACTGAAATAGCAGCACTAGGCTTCCTGGGTAGAATCCAAAGGAATGGACAAAATTTCATTTTCTTGTCTCATAATCATCCTGCTGCCTCAATGTTAACACACAGTGATATGGTCTTTTTTTATAGTCCACTTTCTTTTAGTGGTGGTGGTGACCTTTCATAAAATCAGAGTGCAGTCGAATGTCATTAAGTAGAGCCTGAAGGGCGTGCAATCGTACACACACACAAACGTACATTCCACCACAAGGCCAAAGTGTGTTTCATAGAACAAAGGACTAATCGACAAGCTAAGGGGTGCTTAATGTTGCAATGGGCAAATATTTCGTTGCTGCACATACAAGGAGCATCGGTCAGACAAAGGAAAGAAGCACGGGAATTGTTTCCCAAAATGAAGGGTTTGCACAGTGCATTAGCGTTGCAATACTCATGAAATGTGACTGTTGTGGCCTACTGCACAAATTAGCGAGCTTATGTAAAAAAAAAATTGCCAGCCTTCTTAGTGGCCCTTCAATAGACGTGTCAATCAATACTATTTTTATTGTTTACGACAACAATATGACCAAATTTGAAATGAAAGTGTTACTTGATGCAGTGGTATCATAACTGAAATTAGTATTCAGCTATCTGTTGCAGTTCTTGAGTTCGAGCACTTGATTGACCATCACTGTCATCCAAAAATTAATGAATTAGACATAACATCATCAAGATTTTTGCATAAAAATACAGCCAAGTCCATTTAACAACACAATTTAATTACAATTACAACTAACAACTTTGGTACCATGCACTTTTGTATGCTTTCTATGGTACAATAAACTGGTTATTATAATGCTCCAGTGCCGTAATATTGAATATAGCGATTGAACCTGGCTACAGCGTGCGCTGCAAATGGGTCTCCATACCGACAGTGCCGTGCTGTGGATAGTGGTGAGAGCGACGACTATGAAGACATAGTTGAGCAGCCTATGCAAGCACTGTCATTGCAGGGGGCCCAACGGATGATACAGTCCACGGTGTTACAAATACAGGTCGAATGACGGAGTGCCGCCACCAACACATGCTGCGTTGAACTTCTTCTCCTATGCTCATTCACGCAGCCAGATGGCAGGAGTAGTCACGTGTCCCAGAGCCTGCGTGGCCGACAGCCAAGCGCGCCGGCTCCTATTGCGCGTAAGTGGAGAGTGGACGCCTTCTAGCCAAAGCAGTCACCACCACGCTGCGCTCTTGTTTTTATTCTTTTTGAGCGATGATAGGTTATTCTATTCTTGTGAGCAAGCCAAGAAATGTGCGAGAAGTATTCTGTGCCACCCACGGCAGCTCAACCACACAAAAACGACTCATGTGCGCTCCGCTCATTCTCCTCCCAGCAATACCACCATTAATGCCACGATTAGCACCACTGGCACTGCTGCCACTGCTGACGAGAAGAGGGCTCAAGCTGCTGCCGCGAAACGGCAAGCCAACAAGCCTAAACGGCAAGCGGTAAGCCGACCCCAAAAATCAAGCAAGAGAAGCAGAAGCGTGCCGTAAATGCTGCCTGCAAGAATCCGTGGCAGCAATGAAGACTTGCAGCCCAAGCGCAACCTCAATGCAGGCAAGTAAACATAGAAGCGGCGTGGCAATGTGAGTCGAGGGCGAAGGCAGCAAAACGCTTAAACCGCTGTAACTCAGCACGGATGGCGCGGATGCAAGGTTCAAGCGCGAGTTCCTAGACCAGAGCTTCCGGTACAGCTGCAACGTATGCGACCAACTGGGATTCCACAACAACCTGACCAAGCTACAACCTCAGCAGCAAGATTACCAAGACAACACTCCCTTGACTCTAGGACGTCGTACTCAAGAGGAAATGCAAACCTGAACTTTAAGAGAAACTCTTAACGGAACTTTAAGTTGACCCACAAGCTGCTTCGCATGTCACACAAGGTTACCTTTACGGGGAGATGTGTGAAACTTTTTTTGCTGCACCCCAAGAAGCGGACCGCCTGAAAGTATGGCACAATGTGATTCCACGGAAGGACCGCATGCTGCAGTTGAGTGATTATGTCTGCGCGAAGCTCCATGAGCCGAAGTATGTAATGAAGACATGAGAAGCTTTCTAAGAAGGATGCATTTTTGTGAGTACACCATGAATGGTGGCATTGGCAAAGACATTGTGCCGACGAACTTTTCAGACAGCCATTCTCTTCGAGAAAAAAATTAAACCGCGGATCATTCACACCCTCCAGCCATCAAACATGCTCTGTCAGAGTGGAAAGTACAACCAGATTTGAAGAACTCACACCAACGGGCACCTAGCAGGCATGCGCTGTGGTCTGCGAGATGAATAAATCAAGCTGTGGGGCATCTGATGCCATGGAGTTCGACACAATGCCAGTCATGGTGTCAGTCACAAGTTTGATCGAGATAGTTTTTAAAATGACCGTAGCGTGTCTTTCGCAACAACAGCGTGAGCTCCACACAAGGTTGAGAACAATGATATTTTGTAAAGTTTTCATTGACTACTGAGACAACCACCCAGCCAGATAGTTCCACAACTGCCACAAGCTAATGCTACTAAGCTGCTGCTCCCATCCACATCGTATGAAAAGGGTGGTGAGTCTTGAACAAATGAACATAATTCTAGCTCTGTTGGGCAAATGTAGATGCATTTAATACATCCAACTCCCCTGCAACGTCAGTAGCAGAAAAGATATCGCAATGCTAGTCAGGAGAGTGAGCGCAGCTCATTTGCGTACTGGCGGGTCATCTCTACATCGTTGCAATAAAATGCACCTCTACACCACTGTAACAGAATGTGCTGTTTTTGAGTTAATCCTCACCACGAGATGGTAATTTCCTATGAACCATCACTGCCTGCATGTGCCATCTTCTCCTTGTGAGAGAGCTATGCTTGTTAATGAGAATATCTTGGGGTTATACGAGTTGAAGTAACGATATGATTATGAGGCACGCTGTAGGGCTCCAGAAGTTTCGGCAATGTAGTGTTCTTCAATGTGAATGGACACTGCACTGTGCACGGGCCTCTAGCATGTAGCCTCCACCAAAATGCGACCGCTTTGACAGAAATCGACAGCATGCTTCTCTGCTGCAATACTACGGCCAATAGATTTTAAAGACGATAGTCTTTCTTGCGGTACTTTGACGAAAAATTTTTGGTCTGTCTGTATGTACATTTGTCGGTTTGTCCGCCGCAACGATACCCCAAACGGCTAAGCCCATCCACAGCGCCCACCAACATTGCTCAAGTTTAAGCATTCATACTTGAGCAATTGTCAATTAAAAAACAATTATTGTGCATATCTCAGGCACCATAACGACACGTCAATATTTTGTATGTGTGTCTTTATACTAGAGAAGGCGCACATAAGCAATTCAAAGAACAGTAGCGTTTATCATGCTGCGCTGACAGTGCAACGCGATGCTCAAAAAGGGAATTGTTTCCAACGCTTTTCTAAGATGACACAATGGTGGCACCTGCCTGTCGCTTTGGGTTTTACATCTTATCGCCTCCGAGACAGGCATGCATCTTTCTCCATGGGCGCGCACGCCTTCTTTCGTTTCCACTCGGCTTTGAGCTTTCTGTGCGAAATTTTGTGCTGTCTGAAGCCATTCTTGAAGATAAATGCCAGATACCGCTCGTGTCTAACGCGCCTCTATGCGTTCGTTCGCCTTCGCTGCATGGATCGAGACTATCTAATGCAGCACTTCCAGAATACAATGCACCAATTTTATCACGCAGATCGTCAAATAAACGTTTTGTTCACTCTCTCCAGACGCAAGACTACTGTCTTTTGATGACATTTGCAGTGAAACATGCAGATACGGAGCCAAATTTTTTGTTTGTTGTTTCTGTAAAAATGACTTCATCAAACGGAACTAACTTCTCGGGTATTTCAATGCCATACGTTTACCAATGCGTAATTTAGCGTGTCCTAATGCGAAAGCATCTGTCGATAGGGGTCCATCGAGGTGGTAAATTGAACATATTCCACTGATAGCTGTGGCTGTATCCTCGAAATTTTGCATTTGTTTGCCACTTTTGTTTACTTATCTAGTTTTACTCATTATAAAGCCGAGACAGCATTTGTTAAAATCTACTTTGAGCGCCATTAACAGCCCTGAAACGACCATGCATGATAGCTCGCATCGGCCACGAGTACTGTTGTGCCATCTCGAACCATCTCCACAAACAAAACGAGGAATGAAGTTCTTCATTTTCGGAGGCACTGTTAATCCACCTAAATACTTCTAACACCGTGATAAAATCAGTACGAGACCATGTTTTTGTCAAGGACCTTCTGCTCAACTACGTAGAGCAGGGGAAAGATATGCACCACTTATGCATGCAGCAATCAAAGCTCACAGACTAAGACAAGTAGTACGAAGTGCACTATCCTACTTGCATGCGAATGCAAAAGATATTTTCGTCTCTCTTTTGTATTTCTTTGTTTTATTAACCAACTCATAACAATTATTGGTTGCACTGATGGAATTTTCTCGGCACTTGGGGATCGTTACAAGTGAACTGCATTGTACTTACAAGGGCCCATTCTGTGCTATAAAACTACTAGTTT